TTGCCCAACAACTTGTTTGAAGGATCAGTTCCACCAGGCCTCGGGAATTTGCAATTCCTTGAAATGTACAACATTGGTTTCAATCAGATCGTTAGCTACGGCGATGATGGTCTCAGTTTCCTCACTTCCTCGACAAACAACACCTGTCTCCAATTCCTTGCCATTGATGATAATCATTTGGAGGGTGTAATTCCAGAGTCCATTAGCAATCTCTCTAGAGTTATCAAAAAGTTGTACATGGGAGAGAACCGTATTTACGGTCACATACCCTCCTCAATTGGTCACCTCAGTAGCTTGACTTTGCTTAATGTAAGCTACAATTTGATCTCTGGCGAAATCCCACCTGAAATAGGCCAGCTGAAAGAATTGCAAATGCTTGTTTTAGCAGCAAACAGAATGTCTGGCCATATTCCAAACTCCTTAGGTAATCTCAGAATGTTGAACAACATTGATTTATCCGGAAATTACTTTGTCGGCAATATACCTCTTTCTTTTCCCAACTTTCAGAAGTTGCTTTCCATGGACTTATCCAACAACTTGCTCAACGGAAGCATTTCTAGAGAAATATTTCTAAGGCTCCCAAGTTTGAGAAATATTTCTAGAAATGAAAGGTCTTGAGATTCTAGACCTATCCTCAAACCAGCTTTCTGGGTCCATTCCTGATAAACTTAAAGACCTACAGGTCCTGCGCTACTTGAACCTCTCCTTTAATCTCTTAGAAGGAGTAATTCCTAATGGTGGAATATTTTTTAAAAATATCTCTAGTGTCCATCTTGAAGGCAACCCAAAGCTCTGCATACATTTTCCTTGTGTGGAGAGTGCTGCAAGTAGTCATAGGAGAAAAGTACTGGTCCCAGTTACAACAATATTGGGAATATTGGCAGTATGCATAATGGGTGGTTGTTTGCTCTATGTTAGGAAAAGCAAAGCAAGAGTTGCAGCAACTTCTGATTTAGTAGTAAAAGGGCAGCATCGAATGGTCACATATGAAGAGCTCCATGGGGCAACCGGAAATTTCAACCTGGAGAATTTGATTGGAAGTGGGAGATTTGGGTCTGTGTACAAAGGGTGTCTACGAGAAGGAATTGAAGTTGCAGTGAAGGTGCTTGATATAAGAAAGACAGCATCCTTGAAGAGTTTTTTGGCAGAGTGTGAGGCACTGAGGAGCACAAGGCACCGACTTTAAGAACATCATGCTCCAGCATGGACTTTAAGAACATGGAGTTTCTGGCTTTGGTTTATGCGTATCTGAGTAATGGGAGCTTGGAAGATTGGATTAAGGGTAAGCGAAAGAATGCAAATGGAGATGGATTGAACATTGTGGACAGACTCAATGTGGCCATTGATGTTGGTTGTGGGTTGGATTATCTGCATCATGATTGCGAAGTTGCAGTGGCACACTGTGATTTAAAGCCCAGCAACATTCTTCTGGACAGAGATATGACTGCAAAAATTGGAGATTTTGGGCTGGCCAAGTTGCTGATAGAAAGAACTGGCAATAACGATCTCAGCTCCACAAATGTCCTAAAGGGTTCCGTAGGATATATGCCCCCAGGTTAGTATTATTAAGCAGCCCTCTTCTCGTTTGAAGTATGTGGTTTACCTTATACATCAAGCTAGGTTTTATGATTGTTTACAAAAAATAAGAATGAAATATTATGCAGAGTATGGTTTTGGACAAAAACCATCGACAGCCGGAGATGCATACAGTTTCGGAGTGGTGCTGTTGGAGCTGTTTACTGGAAAAAGCCCAACCCATGAAAATTTCACAGGAGATCAAAACCTTATTAGATGGGTGCAATCAGCCTTCCCTGAGAACGTTGTACCAGTACTAGACTCTGAGCTACTACACCTCATGCAGCATCTGCCTAATGAAGGCCCAATTAATATCATCCCCGAAGCAGAACGTAATTGCCTGATCTCAATTACTGAGGTTGGGATCTCTTGCACTTGTGCTTCGCCTGATGGACGCATTGGCTTGAGGGATGTCCTTTGCAAACTGGAAACTGCTAGACAAACCCTTTTCAAGCATACTCATGTCTGAAAGTGTCACTCATTAATTTCATAATTCAACGTCTAATAACCGGCTTGTAACTCAAGTGGTTAGAGCAACATGTAATCCTATAGCCGAGGTCATTTATTTGATTCCCTCTTCCTTATTTATTGCTTGTATCAAAGAAAACATTTATGTTCTGATAATTGATGTAGTAGATAGTGGAATGCAAGATTTTGATTCCATGTGACAATGTAACTATCACAAATACATAACCAAACTTGAGAATCTTGCCTAAAACCAAAAGAGGGATTATCATATCCAATACCATCTGAAGATAATGTGTATATATGACATGAATTAGCAACCCAAAAATGCCCAATAGTTATTCTCAGAGTTGAGAAAGTATGTTCAGCATTGTTGGGCGTGGCCTGCACTTTGCAAGTAATGGGTGAGCTTTAGGCATGGAGAGCCCAGGCCCTTCACTCATGTCCACCATCTCCTCACCAATCCTCTCCCAATCAAAACACTGTATCAGTGATCCCAATGTCAGTCCAACAATCCGATTTGCTAGCCCTTCCCCAGGACAACCTCTCCTCCCTGTCCCAAATGGCAACAACAAGAAACCATCTCTTTCCCCTTGTACATTCAAAAACCTCTCCGGCCTAAATTGTTCAGGCTGTGACCACAACTTTGGGTTGTTCTGTATGGCCCAGACATTCACCAACAGCATTGTTCCACGTGGAGCATGGAAACCTCCCACGGTACAGTCCTCTGATGACTCGTGTGGGACCAGCAGTGGGCCTGCTGGGTACATCCGGAGGGTCTCATTGATGATGCCATGGAGATGGGGAAGCTTGGCAAGGTCTGATTCTTCAATTAGCCTGCTTTGTCCAATTTCGATATCGAGTTCGGTCTGTGCTTTTGCAAGGGCTTCTGGGTTGTTCAGCAAAAGTGAGAGTGCCCATTCCATTGTTCCAGCTGAGGTTTCTGTCCCTGCTGATAACATCACCTGTGTGCAATTATGCAAAAAGCCTTTAAACCAACCAGTTCATTTCATATTTCTACCTTGGGACACAAGTTTGATTATTTGATCTGAGTTTTGCATATAGCCCTTGTTTTGCATTTGTTATTGGATTTCACAAATTGTGGGTGAGAGAGACTACTTACTTGCATTATGCCTCTTATGATTTCATCTGTATAATATTCAGGTTCATTTCCTTGAAGCGATAATAAAACCTCCACCATGGTCTTGCTCCGCTGTTCAGAAGCAGAGCCACTCTGTTTTTTTCTATGTTCTTCAATCAAATCCTGCATGAATTTATCCCTCTTCCTCTGCAACACCACCAGCTTCTTCTCCAGCCCACTCACTCCCAAAAAGTTCAAAGCTGGTACAAAATCTCCAATATTAGTAGCCCCACTCAATCGAAAGCTCTCTACCATAATTTCTTCAAATCGCTTAGCCTCTTCCAAATCTGCCACATGCTCCCCATGATATCTCTTCCCAGCAATCATCCTCATCATAACATTAAGAGTCAGCTCAAAAAACGTTGACTTCATGTCCAAACTCTGAAACTCCCCACCACCCTTAGAGCCTCTAATAAGCCGGCAAAGCAGTGACCTGACTTCATCGACACGGATGCTATAAAACATCTGAAGGCGGTTCGACGACAATAACTCAAGGGAAGTTATGCGTCTTAGGTTGCGCCAGTGGGAGCCATAGGAGGCCCAGGTAAGGGAGGTGTAGTTTTGTCCAAGGTGTTTTCCGGCAAGCAGCTTTGGACGGTTGGCAAAAGCGATGTCGTTTTTGGTGAAGCATTCCGCAGCTGCAGAAGGAGAGGACACAACAATGACAGAGCGGGAGCCAAATTGGAAGTATGCGATGGGGCCATATTTGTTGGACAATTTGGCAAGTGTTCTGTGGAGGGGTTTCTTGAAGAGGTAGAGATGGCCTATGATGGGGAAGGAGAGAGCAGGGCTTGGTGGGAGTCTTTTGCTAAATTTCTGCAAATAGTTCTTGAGGAAAAGAAAGATGACGAAGAGCAAAATGTAATAGTAGAATGAACTTTCCATTGCTATTGATATGAGATCAGATAGCTGTGCACTATGATGAATCTGTTTGTTTTGTACTTCTTGATATAAAAGAAGTCAAATATCAACCTCTCATGTTATTTTCATTGTTGCGTCATCTTATTAGATAATTAAAATTTATTGCTTAATCTTGGATTTTAATCAACTAATGAAAATCAATAAGATACAAAGAGAAACAGTACAAATGTTTGGTTGTTGTGTGATGTCACATGAAAATACCCATGTTTTTATTTAACTTTTTTAAAATGAAAAGCTGTTAACTTAGGGCCAGTTTGGCATTGCTGTGCTGTGAAAATAATCGCTGTCAGATTTGCTGTGAGAGAAATCAGCTATGAGATAACACAGTTTGGCGTTTGGTAAACTTTTTGTTAAAAGCGTTGTTGGTATGGATTCCCGTATAATCAAAAAATAATTGATGTATAATCATTAAACCCAGCGCCTCTTTTAAACTGATTCCTGTATAATCAGAAAATGAAAGCACCTTATTAGCTGCTTTCCCAAATAGCTTTCTCTCACAGCAATTTTTAACAATAAGTGATTTTTTTATAGTTTACCAAACGGGTTGTGCTTCCCAAAATTTTTAAAAAATCACTTATCACCCGAAATAAGCAATACCAAACGGGCACTTACTATATTATCGAAAAGTTTCACTTCTTAATAAATTCATTAACCAAGTGCACTTTTTGAATGTTTTACCATTCATTAACCAACCTCTCATGTTATTTTCAATGGGTAGAAACCCATTGAAAACTATGTGTTAAGTTACTGTACAAGGCAGCCATGAAATAACGAAAATAACTAACACCTAACATTCAAAAAAAAACTTGCCATTCAAATTTTCCGCCAACTACATGAAAAAACGGTTAGTTGAGCAGACGGAAGAACCTAACAAAACTACCAAACACAAAGCTACTAGTCTTCTTCCCCCCAATCCCAATTCCTCTCCTCCAGTAGAATAATTGAAACTTGTTCTAACAACCACCACTCTCTGTAGCTTTCGCTCTCTCTCTCTGTCATTCCCATCCTTCTGCGCGAGCCATGTACCGTCCGATGTGGGCTCATCCGACTCCTCCCGCCGGCCCTCAGCGGTGGCAAGAGACTTGGGCGCGCCTCCTCACTCCTTTGACCCTTTGGATATGCGGCATGTATACATAAGTTTTTCATATTCAATGCCAATTTCTCTTCCACTGACCCCTGCATCTCAAACAGAGCATTTCACTTGGTTTTTTGGCAGTTTCGGTGAGTCTTCGGTACGGGTATTATGGCGACCGTCGGATGGAGCTTGGGCCGAACTCCTCTCGCTTGATGAAGGCTAGCGCTGTCTTTGTAGAACATGTTGAAGTGAGAGATGTTGACAGGAAAGGGGTCTCTCTCTATGCTTTCTCTGAAGAGCCTGAATTGAGCCACCAAACCAATTGGACTGTCTCCAATTACTTGATTGTTGGCTCCTATAGTCGCAAGGTATGTACCAATTGAAAATTTAATTTGTTTTAATTTGTGCACTTATGGTTTCTTAGCTCCCACGTTTATGCATTGCCTCCAAATTATTGATTTGGATCTCTAGAGAGGTTGAAATTTTCTTTTCAGGGATTTTCCTTCTGGTTAAACAAGGGTTCAAGGATATCCATGAGAGTGGAAGCTCATGCTACTACATTAAATAAACTCCAAGTTGTTATGCTTAAAGGTAAGTTTCAATAAATTTTGTCACAGGTGTTATAAGTAAATGAGGTCCATAATGAACCCAAATTTTGAATAAATGAGAAACTGTCGCATTATTTGGTGAACAAATTTAATGAGAGTAGCATAACTCTATTTTCTCTGTGCGCTGCATCTAATTTACGTTTCGGGTCTCATCCTAAAGCAAATGTATTCATGTTTTGACAGGGGAACAAAAGATTGAAATATTGCATCCGGAACATACAAGTTCTCAAGATGGCCTTGCCTCTATGGAACCCAAAATCGGTAACCAGTTCTACATTTTCAAAACTAGTGTGGTACAAATAGATTGCATAAAAAAGGAAGTGTTTTAGGGGCATGAAAAAACTGATCACAAAACTTGCGTGCAAATGTTCATCATATGTGTGCTTGTTCAGGTAAAGAAGCTGAGTACAATATTGAGGAAGATGACAAGTACTACCTTGACATCATTAACACAAAACCTAGAGGCATAATCATAACACTGAATGTAAATGTTTCGTCAACGATGTATGACATTACGAAAGCTAAGGCCGTCTGCTCAACAACAAAGGGTTCGTGCCGGCTCAGACTAGTATTCCCCAATACTCATTATGTCATACTAACCACACCTAACTATGTAAGGCCTGATCCCATACTTATCTCACCTAGTTACAAAATTTGGGGCAACATAACCAACAAAGTCATTGCAGGGGGATCTTGGTGATTGGTACATTGAGCTTTCATTCGTGGCCCGCGTCGTAACCTACATTGCAATTTTAGGTACAGACATCAGAAAAAGACCTAACTTCTGTTGATCTCCTAGTACTTTTTTTCAATAATCTTGTGATTTCAATCATTGATCTCAATTATGTTCAACTTTCAGGGTTTATTGTGGTGACTATTTTTCTTATATTGAAATACCTTGGCGCCTGTGATGTTGAGAGTAGTACTCTAGTAGAAAGAGTAGAGGAAGAAGTTAATGAGACTTACCCTATAGTGCCACAGAAGAATATTCGACAGACATATGGGACAAATGAAGAAGATGAAGAAGATCCAGGAGCCTCTAGTAGCTCCTCAGAGGAATTATATGATGAAAAATTATGCATAATTTGTTATGATGAGCAGCGCAACTCCTTCTTCGTTCCCTGTGGTCATTGTGCCACCTGCTATGACTGTGCTCAGAGGTACATAAACAAAGAGTTTCATATTCTTCTTTTCACATGTTATTTTATTTTATTTTATAGAGATTTTGACTAAAATGAATCTTGCAGGATTATGGATGGGGAGAATAAGGTCTGTCCAATATGTAGAAGGCTCATTCACAGAGTGAAAAAATTGTTTAACCCTTAAAGCGAAGGCCTTGATTGTGAATTTTTGTGATTAGTAGGTTGAGAGGATTTTATTTTTTTTGTGAGTGTGGAAAGAGAAAAATTGTATCTGTAGAGAGTGAGTGTCATCAAACTCTTGTGCTCAAATCCACTGCCTAATTTCTCAATATGCCTCATGAATTGTTCTTTCTCGGATCAAGCTGCACAGAAGAGAGTGACTCTGGTGTGAATTATTTATCGGCCAACACTAGTGCACGAAGGAAAAGCTCTCTTTAGTATACTCTAATGCTTGAGAAAGAGATCCATGAAAATTTTAGATGAGACCCTGTTAAGTGCTTGTGTTGGATACTTGTTCATTGAGAGAATGTAGATTGCATCAAGTCTGTGAAAATTCAATCACTGGAAGAGAGTCTGTTTATAATTTCTTCCAACTTTCTTGAGAAGAAAAAGTAAAGAACCCACAAAGAGACTATTTTAATATTCTTTTTTATGCTGCCATGACATTGCTACATTCATATGATGGGGAATATTTGAGCTCCCATAAGACAATGGTGTGTGATATCTAATTGGACAACATCAAATGACAACAATCCAATCAGTCACAGTATTTCTGCATACAATATATCTGAAGCTAATATATGTGTGGCTGGTCTCGGCAGATCCCTAAGGTGATTATACTTGAACCCCTTAAGTTGATGTAGTGTCAGTTTGTGTCCAGCTGCTATTACTTGGGATTTTCAGCATCTCCATATATAAGTTATCTGGATGGACTACATATTGGAATCTCAAGCGGCTGTCTTTTTAGATAGCATCCCCAATTTTGTACACTTCCTGTTGTATATTATTATTATTTTCCATCAACCAATAAATTGCCCAGCAATGAAATGTACCAGATGATTTGATCATATATTAGCAAGTACATCAGTTTCAGCATTGCAGACAATATTCACCATATCCATGGAAACTTCATTTTACTATTACATTTTGCTCTTCATCATCTTCCTTTTCCTCAAGAACTTTTTGCAGAAATTTAACAAAAGACTCCCACCAAGCCCTGGTCTCTCCTTCCCCATCATAGGTCATCTCCACCTCATCAAGAAACCCCTCCACAGAACACTTGCCAAATTGTCCACAAAATATGGTCCAATATTGTACATCCAATTTGGTTCTCGTCCTGTCATTGTTGTCTCCTCTCCCTCTGCAGCTGAGGAATGCTTCACCAAAAATGACATCGCTTTCGCAAACCGTCCTGGGCTGCTTGCCGGCAAACACCTTGGATAGAACTATACCACCCTTGTCTGGGCATCTTATGGCTCTCACTGGCGCAACATGAGACGCATAGCCTCTCTTGAGTTATTGTCATCTCCCCGCCTTCAGATGTTTCATGGCATCCGTGCAGATGAAGTCAGGTCATTGGTTTCCCGGGTTTTTCGAGGTTCTAATGGCAGTGAATTTCAGAGCTTAGACATGAAGTCAACTTTTTTTGAGCTGACTCTTAATGTTCTGATGAGGATGATTGCTGGAAAACGATATTACGGGGAACATGCGGTAAAACTGGAGGAAGCTCAGCTGTTTAAAGAACTTGTGATAGAGACTTTTGAGTTGAGTGGGGCTACTAATATTGGAGATTTTATACCAGCTTTGAAATATGTGGGAGTAACTGGGCTTGAGAAGAAGTTGGTGATATTGCAGAAGAAGAGGGATAAATTCACTCAAGATTTGATTGGAGAACACAGAAAAATGCAGAGTGGCTCTGTTTCTGAACAGAGGAGCAAGACCATGGTGGATGTGTTGCTTTCCCTGCAAGAAACTGAACCTGAATATTACAGTGATGAAATCATAAGAGGCATGATACAAGTAAGCTCTCCCAACCAAAATCTATGAAAACAACTCAATAACAAATGTAATGATTTTTTGTTGAAGGCCTTTTTTGCATAATTGCACACAGGTGATGTTATCAGCAGGGACAGAAACCTCAGCTGGAACAATGGAATGGGCACTCTCACTTTTGCTGAACAACCCAGAAGCCCTTGCAAAAGCACAGACCGAAATCGATATCGAAATTGGACAAACCAGGCTCATTGAAGAGGCAGACTTTGCAAGGCTGCCCTACCTCCATGGCATCATAAATGAGACCCTGCGGATGTACCCAGCAGACCCAATGCTGGTACCCCATGAGTCATCAGAGGAGTGCACAGTGGGAGGGTACCATGTTCCATGTGGAACAATGCTGTTGGTGAACATGTGGGCCATACAGAACAATCCTAAGCTGTGGTCACAGCCTGAACAGTTTAAGCCAGAGAGGTTTTTGAATGTACAAGGGGAGAGAGATGGTTTCATGTTGCTGCCATTTGGGACAGGGAGGAGGGGCTGCCCTGGAGAAGGCTTAGCAATAAGGATGGTTGGGCTGGCCTTAGGGTCATTGGTTCAGTGTTTTGAGTGGGAGAGAATTGGTGAGGAGATGGTGGATATGAGTGAAGGGGCTGGGCTCACCATGCCTAAAGCTCACCCTTTGCTTGCAAAGTGCAGGCCACGCCCAAAAATGCTGGCCCTGCTTTCTCAACTCTAAGAGCACCTGTTGGGCTTTTTGGGTTTGCTATTTCATGTCATGTTAGTTTTGTTTGTGCAGATTGTTTTGTTGATTGACTTTATCTCTGTGTCATTTTAGCTTTTAAAGAACTGATGCACAATGTATTTTTCAAGAAAAGTAATAAATATGATGATTAGGACACAGCAATTTTTGTTCAATATGGTGGTTCAGGGGTGAAATGTACATGAACAACCCAAATAAATGAGCATTATTGTGTGTAATGCAGACTAGGCTTTGGTTATGCACAAGTTTTCCTTTTGTAGCAGATACTTCTTCTATCAGAGAGTCCCCAGATAAGAAATAAAGGTTTCCTATTATGTTCTGCAAAAGTTTCTCTCTCTCTCTCTCTCTCTCTCTCTCTCTCTCTCTCTCCAATGAGTTTGTCCTAGCAGTATAATCTGCTAATTGTCAATTAGTTGATGTTTAATTTGCATGGTAATAACACATTCCTAAACCCTTCACCTACCTATCATTGCTTACCATACAATTTACAGCCCACAACACTAAACATTCATGTGTGCCTTCAGTTCATGACTGCAATTCTACCTGCAGACATATCACCCTCTCTATCATCTTTATTCTCTCTACTTCACAAAAATGGAAGCAACCCAAAAGATTGTGAATATCAATTCTTAGCTCTATTTTATTCGGGAACGATATTCTAAGGTTTAAGATCAAGCAATTAAAGCAAAACAAAATCCATTTGGAAATTATAAGAACCTAAGAATCAGCAAGAGAATCAAGAAAAGATAAGGGCTTGGATTGGATGGTGTTGTAGCATATTAATAACTTTTATCATTACAAATCCATCCAGTGGTTGTGGTATGAGATTCGACAGCCTAGCTAGCTATTATCCTGGCCAGCCTTCAACACCATCTTTGACAATATTTGCAACCTTACATCACTCACAGTGTTTCAAAGATCAAAAGGTGCAAAAGGAAAACGAAAGGTTCTTGGCCATGGCACCTCAATTCAAAAGGGTTTCCGAATTTCCATATATTTAGCCAAGAGCAGTACATGCTCATGCTGGCTTTGGCAAAAGGCATAAGCCCTTGTTGCTGATCACTTGAAGAGTTCTATGCTTTGTGCGCCAAATGGCATGCTTTATCACCTGTAACGAAAAGAGTGGTGCCTGTCCTCTTCATCAAGCTAAATTCAGCCTAAAATTAATGGTTTCTTTTAGACTTTGGAATGGTTCTATGCTTTATTATTTCAAATACTTTTTTTTATTAATACTGAAATGCCCAAATATTATCATAATTATAGTTGGTACCAAATCTTATGATATTGTTTAATTACATCATCTCATCATATTATTTTCTTTTTTTGACGCAAAAGCGATAGTGTTTTATTAATCATGAAGGAACAAAAACCGGAGTATGACTTAGAGGATTAGGTGTTATTAGTCGTCGTTCAAACAAATTATTTTCTTATTTGAATAGAAGTTATGCGTGTAAATCCTGACAACTTACAGAAAGAAAGAAAAATGAATGTCATTGGTTTATTTGTAATCATGAACGATTGTGATATATTTGTTTCATTTTATCAAGAAAAGCTTCATTCAAGATCGCAGTTACAAAGTTCTAATGGACAATCAATTCATGTTGATCGATACTACACAACTAATATAGACAAATAATTAGTTAATCAACTCAAGCTGAACTACAACTTCATTAGAGCCTCTTATCTATAAATTATCTTTCCATATACTTGTATGAAATAAGAAGTCACTTAATCGTACTACCAATAAAAGAAAGAGAAAATAGTCTCACTTAATACAAAAATAAGTTAAATTCATAAAAATTTATACAGAACTCTATTCTTTTATATATACATATATATAACAGGACCTCTTACACCTTCGATATAATATTTAGGGCCTGTTTGGGAGTGCTTCTGAAAGGGCCAAAAGCGCTTTCTAATAACTAAAAGCGCTTATGACAGCGTTTGGCAGAAAAATTTAGAAGCGCTTTTGGGTCATAGAAGCGCTTCTTATGGCAGAAAAATTTAGAAGCGCTTTTGGGTCATAGAAGCGCTTCTTAGAGAAGCACCTGCTATGTGCTTCTTCAGGAAGCACTCCCAAGTGCTTTTCCACGAAGCACTTTAATTTTTTATGAAAATTCAAGATTTTTATAATAAAAGCGCTTTTGTTAGAAGCGCTTATGAGCAGAAGTACTTCCTAGAGAAGCATTCCCAAACGAGCCCTTAGTTGAACAGGTTTGTTCTCTCAAAATTTTAATGAACGAAAAAACAATAAATATTAAGATGGTGCTCATTCTTTCATCCAACAAAAAAACTCTTAAGATGACCAGTAATTGCAAGGGACTTGTAACTTAACTGGTTAAGAGCATTTATCCCAATACTCGAGATACTATAGGTTTGATTTCACACTCCCCCAATATCTCTTGTATGAAAAAATAATAATAATAATAATAATAAACCCCAGTAATTAAACTTTAAAGTAACAAAAGGGCATCAGCCATTCCAACACGTGGCAACTTCCTAATGGCCAGAATACAAGACGACTGCAACCAATAATAAATGCCTAATTATTTTGCACGTAAAGAAAGAAAAAAAAACGACTATAAAATACAACAAAACGCAAAGCCGACACTCTCAAGAGCCCACCCATATCGGTCGGTCCGTTTACCACTAACGTAACCCATCCCATACAACTCAACAGGCCACAGTCCACACTATCTCCACAGTCCACCCCAACATCCAACATTAAACGCAAAAACCAAAAACGGCGACGCTCCGTTTTTCGTTGACGACGCCAACCAACAAACCATGAGCGCTCAATTGCGCCAAGACGATGACGAGCCGAA